GGCTGACGCGGGAGCCTATTCCCTGACAGGACTTGTTATTCCTAATTTATTAGTAATGATAGGTTTTAATATAGGCGACACTACTATACTATACAGAACTAGACCAACTATAAGTTTCACTTTGAAAAATAGGAGAACGCCACACCCAATATCTTTATACACATTCTATTGTCAACGGTACGTTAATGTCAGTTGTAATACCGACTCACGCCGATGGCTTGTTGATAAAAAATGGATCGGAGCGATCGCGCGCATGGTCACATTTCTTCAACAGGCAACCTTAAAATATAGTATTACATGTTGGATATTAAACTCCAGTCACACTATACACACCGCTATCAGTTCTCACATTATCGATAACACCATCTCGTACTTCATATGTCTCTTTATGTCATGTTTTATAAGTGTTATTATCTCTATCTCAGCTCAACTAATCCGGTTTTCTCGACGAAAACATAGTGGGCTTTTGATTCCCACCTTATAAAACTCTGTATCTTATTGGCAAACCATAGTCTGCAAACTTACATGTGAGCAGAACAGAAACACCTTTCCTTCGATACAATAGTTAGTGTCATTAATATAGGCAATAGTACTAATTTTGTTTACTAAAAACGTTCCATGTGCTTTTATACAACCCATCGATCCTTTGAATGGCTTCCATTCTTTGTAGCATCCGCATGCGAATGGAATTCAAGAGTCAGACTGGGTGGTAAATTTAACGTGCCCTTCAATTGTCGACTAAAAAGCGAAATAAAAACTCCACGAATTAGAAGAAATATCCCATCTTGGACTCGATTCAATTCAAGTCGCACTCACAAGTCGCACTCACCCCACTGTTTCTGAAATCTCTCTGTTATTTGAAGACCGCATCCATAATGAAATTCTAAAGAAAATTTTACGGACGGAAACTACAGCCCCACATATTTCGTCCGCGTGATCAAACGCTTCACCGATACACGCGAGCATCTAAACATGATGTTTGGTTTAGTCAGTAATTGGACAACAACACTTCAGTCAATGGTCAAAACCGCATTGTATTTCTTTTTCCTTGTTCACTCTGCTGTATTTATCTTACCGTATATAGCCAGAGCGTATTAATATCTTCCCCGGTCTTGTGACGAGAAAATTGAACAAGCCATTTACCACCGTGCTCGTTTACAGGATCCTCCCACATTGGTTTTATTCCTCGTTTGAATAAATGATAATTGGATCCCGAGGATAAATCACTCGCTTTGACAATATTATTATATACACTGTACACGTATAGATAAGAATTTTCAGTCGCATATCAAATATGTAGCAAGTAAAGAAAGAGACTATGAATTAAGTCACTAGACAAACTGACCCCCAGAACTCTTCCACCGAATCAAAAGTAATCAATTCTTTTAACGTTGCCGACCAACTCGCCGCATTTGTTTTCTTGCCAGGGTTATCGAACCACAAGGTCCATGAATTGAATAGCGGATGCTTCACGTTATAGTTGAGCGGATCGCTGAATACTGTTCGCTGCTCTTCGGATTCAAAAGGGAAAGCTGCATTTCTTTCCTCTTCGTCCGAATCCTCGGTCCTGTTTGTGTTCCTCAGATTAGCTACTTCAGTAGAAACGGTATTGTCAGACATCTTTGAGAGAGAATAGTTTCATTTGAGGCGCACTCAACAAAAAACTGATAAAAAAGTGAATGTGGCGTTAATGGCGTCCATAAACCCATTTCAGGGATCTAACGCCACAATCAGTATCCTTTTCGATACCAACGCACGCACCCCCTTTATTATAATTACTACACTGGACAAGATCTCGAGGTTTTTAATAACAAATTGAGTTCAAGCTTTCGACTTTTTTGGATATGGCATAAGGTTTCGGAAGAAATTCGTTTAGGGTTGCCTAGTATTAGTCCGGAAAGATACAATGGTGGAGTGTGATGTGGAAGAGGATCAATCCCGTAAATCGAAGTAAATAAACAAGTGATCAGTATTTGCAGCGAGCCGAAGCTTTCCATTATAAATTCGTCTACGTATAATTAAGAAAAGTATAAACAATTCCATTGAGAGGGTCTGTACATTCAGTCTTGCAACGGCTATAATGTTATTAACTTAAATGTTGGTATTGTTGTGTTTGCGCGCTTTATGTACAAATCTTAAGCTGATTGCTGTAATGCAATACATTGCCAACTCATTATTAACTTAAGCAACAACAACCTCCTTTTACTGTAATTTTTATACAATTGTTAAAAAAGATACTTCTCTGCATCCTAATAATACCAGACAACAGCGTGGATTTTTTCGATGCCACCAAGCGCACGCGGGATTTTCATATTTGTGAATAAGAACAGGAAGTTATTTTTCATTACCAGTAGCATTACAAGAATAGATTAATCTTTTCAACTTTTCTTTCCCGAGCAGTAGCATTGGTAGGTTCAAGCCCCCCTTATCGTTTATTAATCATGCGTTTGGGGTTGCCTTACGCGTTTGTCGTGCGTTCGTCGTCGGTCGGTCGTTTTTGCGTGCGTTTTTTTAAGTAGGATGTTAGAGGTGATATCGGTCGGCTAAGTCGTCACAATTGAAGATGTTTTGATTCGTAATTCTAAAGTTCATCTCGGTAACGTAGAATATCCTCGTAAAGTGTGTGCAAAGTTTTTTCAAAACATCCAAGCTTAATAGTAGTACAAGAGTTACAAGAGACCCACCCACTAAAGAAATAAGTGGTATGTGGATAAAAGTATTTTGCTGTTGATAATTGAGTGCAGTTTAGACTTGACAGTTTTGAGTATTATTCCATGTTATTCCACATGTGCTTGAAAACGTATTTGAGAACCTCCAATGCTGGTGCTGGGTTTGCAAATATTTGGTGATAGCCTCAAGCTATCAATTTCCACGATACCGTGAGATTGATAAAACAAAGGTGTCAATAAAATACTCATGTAACGCGTTAGAACTTTGACATTCTTATTTTATTATATGTGACTTATGTCTTTGCAGCAGCCACTACTAAGATAATTATAAGAACTTGCTGAAAGCTATCTGAAACTATAACTGCTGCCTAAGATATATTTGAGACACGATCCCATGGCATGTATTTGCAAACAATCAAATTCTATATTTGGGACACAAAGATGTCACGTTTGATGGATGCCAATAGTTCACGTTCACATGATGGCTGTGTTTTGGAATAATTCCTAACTGTAATGACTCGTTATTCTTTCTGGCTTGTTTCTCATCTTTTTCACCTATAAAGGTCGCTTTCATTCTCGTGAAGCAACCAACCTATTTGTATTTGCTATTATCAACATAGATTTCCAGGTAGGTATTGATTGATGCAAGAGGATAGCTGTAACATTATGGAGTTTAACATAATAACTTTTGTTTTGATGTTGCTTCCTTTTATAATAATTGTTCTAAGCCATAAATATTACAAAATACAGTGTTTATTATGATATGTAATCAATACAGACTTGATATGCAAAAAGCATTGCTTCATTAGCAGGAAAGAAAAACTCTATATAACTGTCTGAAGAGAGCAAAAGAAGCAATACTATTAATCTCTGATCAGCCAGTATACACAGTTTTTCTCAAATAAATCCATATAGATTTATGTAATGGTAGAAAATCTGTCGGATTTAGTTGACATATAGAACAGACAAATATTCAGCTATAGGGCCAATAAGCATTTTAACTTTTGAATAGTTTTTGCAAGATGCATTATTATATAAGTTCTTCTGATACCAGTAGGTTCATTGACAAGAATTGATTTCAGAATTTCAATGTTATGAATCAAATATTTGTCCCTTTTATTGAATGCAAATTGAATGGAACCTTGCATCTACACGAGAGTCATTTAAAATTAATTGCGCTTTTTTATTTTTAGTTATCAAGTAATAATCGCCACCTTTTTTTTTATCCTCCTTTTTCTTAAATTTTATTGACTGATGGGCGCCAAATGATATTTGTATAACTTAGTTTTATCATTTTCGGTGACACAAATGTTAGTTATATATAAATTATATTGCATTGCTAGCTAACACATTGTAATTTTTTGTAAATATGTTGTATACTAGATGCGCTAAGTACAGTACTAATCGTGCGGTAATTGCATTACTCATTGTGTCAATATTTGCATTTAATTGCAAATTTATGGGGTGGTCGGTGACTACTGAATAATACCCTAAATTCAAAATACGATTTCTCAACAACAAAACAAGATATTTGGCCAAACTTACCTGCATTTAATAGCAGTTATTTTGCGCTTTTGAATGAATGTAAATGTATGTAAAATTATATGCGGATTAATTTTAACGATTTTTTAAATATTCGATTCGCATACCCTAATTTTAACGTTTTTCGTTGATAGAAGTCGACTCTAGGTAAATTCGTAATTTTACTATCTAACATATTGCAATATTTTGTGTATATGATACCTATAAGGTGCGCTAAATTCAGTATTAATTTCATGGTAATTGCATTGCTCGTTATGCCAGTATTCTCATTCAATCACAAACGTAGAAGGTGGTCGGTGACTTTTGAGACGGGAGTGTAACTCGTTGTCTCTTCGCTAAAGGCTTACTATTTCCTGTTTTGCATTGATATAAGTGACATTTTGCAGAAAGAATTGTTCAACATTCACACCAGGATCGATAAAATACAGAAAGATCAATCAATCAGAATGCTTAAAATTATTCCCAATTTAGTAAATGTTACAGAATTATCGGTAGAGCGGGTGAGATTTAATAGTAAATAGCATTGATGTATTGGTACAAAGGTTATAGCAGGATTTATCACCTTACAACATCATTATCACTACTGGAGGATGATGTGCTTGAGAAACTCGAGCAATTTTTCTCAATCTGCTTATGAATCATATAAGGCACCTCGAGTTTCAAGAGTACTAGAAACTACGAGGGATAATGTAGATAGAGGAGGAAGACCTTCAAACTTCAACAAGGGAGAAGGCTCTCCTATATTTTTTATAGGCATTGCTACATATATATGTATGCAACCTTTTTTATCGCATTTTCTTTATTCACTTTCTTTTATATCTCCCTTTCCTCCTTTATTTCTATCACTATCCTAAATAGTATTTCTGATACACAAACAAAAATTTCAAATCAAATGCTTATATTCTCACCATTATTAATAATAATAGTAAGGCTCTCCTATATTTTTTATATACTTGTATTTCTTTCGACATGTATTTTTTTAGGCGTTGCGCCCTCCAATAAATGACGGAGTTACACAAAATTTTAATAGTAAACCATATAAAAATCTTTCTTTTTAAAAAGCTCTTCTGCTCTTGTGTACTATGTGAAGTGCAATAATTTTTATATGGTTCAGAAGCTAATTGATATGGTTTTCAAAAAATAATAACAATAAATTTTTATAAATTATTGTTATAAGTTAATAGCTCGACGAAGTGTGAGTATACGTGCTATACATACAGTGACTTACAAAACCGGCTCAATGTTTGAAAGAATTGAATGTACAGGCTTATAACTCAACAAATATCCAACCAATTTACATGAAATGTTAACTAAATATAGTCTTGCTTTCTGGCTTTCAATACATTTTGGTTTTATTTGAAAAGACTCAGTACTTCAAGAGATATGATTTTTTAAATTTTATTAGTGCATTGAGCCGGTTTTGTAACTCATATTAAATTTTGAAAAATAATGTTTTATTAATATTTTGTGTAGCCACCTTTGGCTTTTAGGACAGCAGAAACACGCCTAGGCATACTTGCTATTAAATCTATGCATGTTTGTGGTGGAATCTTATTCCACTCAGCCTCCACACACTCCCATAACTCATGCATACTCTCTGGATCTGTCTCATAAGTGGCGAGCTGTCGTTTGAGATGCTGCCATAGGTGCTCAATTGGGTTTAAGTCTGGTGATTGAGCTGGCCAATCTAGCACCTCAACATTGTTGTCCTTGAACCATTTTTGGGCAAGCTGGGAGGTGTGTTTTGGATCATTGTCCTGTTGGAAAATAATCTTATTCACTTCCATCCCATAATAATCAAGGCTTTGGAGAAATTCATCTCCAAGAATGCAAGTGTAAAGTTCTGCATTCATATGCCCATCAATTCGACAGGCATAGCCAACCCCCTGAGCCATCATGCAGCCCCAAATCATGAGACTTCCACTGCCAAATTTTACTGTTTTCTTAACATGCTGCTCTGTTATCCCACTGCCAGGCTTTTTCCAGACCCATTCATGCCCATCTGACCCCAATTGATTTATTTTTGTCTCATCTGACCAAATGACACGTTTCCAGTCTTCAACAGTCCAGTACTGGTATTTTTTTGCAAAGTCAAGATGTTGACAAATATGTCTTGGTAGAAGTTGAGGCTTTTTCTTCTTTGTTGCAGCCTTCAACCCAGCCTCCTTCAAAGCACAACGCACTGTCTGGGTGCTCAACACTATGTTGGTGGTCTCCTTCAGTTCACGAGAGAGCTGAGCAGCATTATCTGTTTTTCCTGAAGTGATTGTATGCACCAACCTACATTTATCAGTTTCAGTAAGTTTGGCTGGTTGCCCACCTTGACTTTTTTTTATGTTTGGTCTTGACTTCTCACGTACTCTATCCACAGTGGCACGACCAATATTCAGTTGTGCAGCAATTTTATGTGAAGAAAGTCCATTATCAAGTAGAGAAACAATTTTATTATGGGTTTCTTCAGAAATAGACTTCATAATGAGAATTAATTCAAAGAAGAGTGGAAATATAAACAAGAGTTATATATATATACAAATAAGTGTAAACAACGCGTATTTGAGTAAACAAGTCGAGTTTTTGCGTCTGTGTTACATCATACAAAGGTGTAACAGTTAATATTAAATGTTTACCGGTTACAAAACTGGCTCAATGCACTAATAAAATTTAAAAAATCATATCTCTTGAAGTACTGAGTCTTTTTAAATAAAACCAAAATGTATTGAAAGCCAGAAAGCAAGACTATATTCAGTTAAAATTTCATGTAAATTGGTTGGATATTTATTGAGTTATAAGCCTGTACATTCAATTCTTTCAAACATTGAGCCGGTTTTGTAAGTCACTGTATCTTTCTTATCTACTATCTTACTGACAGTTGTCCGATCAATATTAAATCATACTAAGTATTGAAATGAAAATTTTATTATCAAAGTGAGAGAGAGCCACAATTCATAAGAGAGTGAGCAATTGGTTTAGTTATGATAGTTTATCTTGGCAAAAGGTTTTTATTATGAAATTTAAAAGCGGTAGTAATGCTGACTTAAACTATTAATTGCCTGAATATCATATTACTTATGATCAATATTGTACTAATAGCGATAGGTATACTACACTCACAAAAGTATTGGCGATCAATATAGACGCATTGATGTTTTTGAGGCACAAGATATCCCATTCCGTGAATCATAATAATAATGAGGAAGGTTAAGAGTTCAATAGTCGACTACTGGATCATTTTTAACTTTTCTTTATGTGTATCGTATTATAATAACTGGATCACAGCGATGTCATATTTAAGCGTTGTTTATCACCAACGAGAAGACTGTCAATTCCAACAAATATTCTATCGCAATATAGAGCATGTTAATGTATGGAAATAACGTTACAGAATGAAGATGAAGATTGCGTATATAAGTGATGATTAGATAAAGGTACAATTTGTGTAGAGCTACATACACTAGTCGCTACAATAAAACAAGTTTTTTTTTTCCGACTTTTTGTGATGTCTAGTGACGACGACAAATTATAATAAACTGAAATAAAGCCATCAGTATTACAATTTTCACGTCGAATGCTTATTTGCGACAAGAACGTGTTGAT